AAAACACCATCATATTATAGAAACAAGTTTAGCACTTCTTAATCATGCATTTATTCCATTATCCTTTGATGCTCGCCATTTATACCATCAACCGCCTTCCTACATCGACCTTACGCAATAAGTCCCCTTATTCTACCCTCTTTGGTAGCACTCCTCCCTATGATGAACTCAAGATCTTTAGGTGTTTATGTTATCCATGGTTATGTCCATACACTTCGCATAAATTAGCACCTCATTCTCGCTTCTTGTGTATTTTTGGGTTATAGTAAAATTCATAAGGGTTATTTATGTTATGATCTCGTCCATCAAAAAATGCATGTCTCAAGCCATGTCTTGTTTTATGAATAGGTTTTTCCTTTTGCTCTATCAAGTCGGAATCTACCAATGTCTCATCCTCCTCGAGCTCTTGTTCTCTTGCCATTGCCATGCTCGGATCAACCACTCGAACCACCAAAAGATTCCCTTATCACAACCAAATATTTCCCGACGAACCTACATCAGCAACACTCGCCACCAAATCATGCTCCAATAGTAGAACCACAACGGACTCCATATCAATCTCTCGCCTTCTCCACCGACCACACACCAACACCCTTTACTCGATACAACATACCTACCCCTCACTCACAATCGGCCACCCACTTTATAGGCCTTGCCAACCTAACTCCCGATCCCCACATCTCCTTCACTCGTCGATCGCACCCGTTACCCATTAACCCAAATTGATTCAGCTATCGCTACGGCTCCTACTTCACTCCCCAAACAAGCCGCAACACCCACCCATGAGATGATCACACGTTTTAAAACTAATAGCCTTAAGCCACGTACCTTTATCGTTGTTGCTCACCCCATTGAACCTCAAACGTATACGAACCTCAATCTCATTCTCATTGGAGGACGACCATGGCTACTGAAGTGCAAGCTTTATTGAACAACGATACTTAGAAACTTGTTCCTCAATAACCTTCGTATAATGTCATTAGGAACAAATGGGTATACGAGTGAAGAAAAAGCGGATGGTACCATTGATCGGTACAAAGCTAGACTAGTGACAAAAGGCTTTAACCAATGACTCGGTTTGGATTTTAATGACACTTATATCAAACCAGTGGCACTCCGATTAATCCTTTCTCTTGTTGTCTCTCTCAATTGGCAAGTTGAACAATTAGATATCTCCAATGCCTTTCTTCATGGACCATTAGAGAAAGATGTCTACATAACTCAACCATAAGGTTTTATTGATGCTTTATGCCCCACTCATGTCCGCAAACTAAAGAAATCCTTATATGGGTTAAAACGAGCACTCTGTATCGGTGGTTTCGGTGCCTCACGGACAAGCCGGTTTTCATGGGCTTTTAGGGGTCACGGACGAGATATCTCCCTATTTTTCAAAAAATAGACATTATAATTTGCTTGATTTATGTTGATGACTTGCTTATCAAAGGTAACAATGGCTTCATGCTTTCTTCTATAATTTTAGTATTGTAATCCATTTTTGTAATGAAACATGTAGGACCTTTTCACTATTTTCTTAGAATAGAGGCACATCTGGGGCACACATGGCCTTTTTCTTAGCCAAAGAAATATGCCACTAAGTTCGTTACTCAAAGCACGTATGCACCAAGCTAAAGGTATCGGTACTCCTGCATGTCCACACACTAAACTACATGCCACGATGGGGACCTTATTTTCCGATCTTGGACTATATAGAAGTATTATGGGAGGGTTACACTAACTTGGTATTACTAGGTCGGACCTCGTTTATTTTGTGAATAAAGTGGCACAATATATGCATGCCCCAATCGATGCTCATTGGGTCGCTATCAAACGGATACTCCATTACCTTTAAGCCATCATAAATCATTGCCTACATCTTCAAAAATCCACCACCTCTTCCATCTATGCATACGGGGATTTTGATTGGGGAGGGGATGTAGATGATCGAAAAACACTTCTAGCTATGCCATCTATCTTGGCAAAAATCGATTTCATGGTGGTCTAGAAAACGGAGAACCGTTGCTCGCTCTTCTACCGAAGTCGAATATCGTGCATTGGTAACTCGTTTGTGCTTGAGGTCGAATGGATAAAGTCCCTTATGAGGGAAATTGGCATGCCTCGTACGTCTTCCTCAACTCTTTGGTGTGATAATATCTCGGCCAACTATCTCACTAACACTCTAATTTTTCATTCATGGTCTAAACACCTTGAAATAGATTTCACTTTATGAGGGACAAAGTTTGTCAAGGTATTCTACGCGTGTGTTATCTATCTACTACATATCGGATTGCGGATATTCTCACTAAACCACTCGTCTAAAACTCAATTTCAACAATTTAGACACAAGTTGCTTATCCTTCCGGATCTCGCATAACTTGCGGGAGGGTGATAAGGATAAGATCTCTAGTCTCTTGCTACTCGTCGTTATACAAACTCTTTTAGTCTCCTTCGTATACTTGTTGTAGTTAATACTTATCCTTAGTTGATAGACTTATACCTTACTCGTAACTTCCTCTAGCTTATCCTATCCGTATGCATGTATATAAGCATTGTAACTCATGATAATTATGATATAGAGAATCAATAATCTTTCAATTGGGCCCCAACCCAAACTAGTCCCGTCCCGACAATCGATGTTTTGGATCTTATTTTGATATGAACACATGCATCGCAACACTAGTCCTAACCGACACCTAAGACATCCTACATCAATCCACTAGATGCTTAAGACTCGATCTTAGCCTAAACATTAACTCTCTAATCTCGGTATTTACCCAAACCAATCTAGATTCGACCTTCGAGCGTCCTAAAATCGATCCCGAGTTGAAACATACACCCCTTACCTAAACCCATAAGCACTTTGGACCCGATCTCGACCTACACCTCGAGCACTCTGGACCTAGTCTCCACCTAAACCACGATCATCTTGGACCCAATCTCAACCTAACTTATAAAACTCTAAAACCCATGTTGGCTTAACCCCATTATGTCCCGGATCTAGTCCCCGCTCGAACTTAAAGCGCTCTAGACGTGGTCCTGGATAATCCCTCAGGCACTCCAAAACCAATCCCAACTTGAAACCTTGGGCACATCAAACTATGGGCGTCTTAAACCTTGGCACAATCCCAAATCGACCTTTGAGCACCCTAGACCTAGCTAAAATTCCAAGCACTTTGAACAAGGTCTTAACTCAAAGTTTGGATGCATCACACCATAGATGTCTTGGACCTCGGCATGGTCATGACCCAACCCTAAGTTGTCTCGCACTGGTTATGTACCGACCCTTTGGCACTTTAGAGGAGGTCCCGGCTCGAACTTTAAGAGCCTTGGAACTAGTTCGGCTTGAATCTTGGGCACCCCCAAACTAAATCTTGACCAAATCCCAGACTTCCCTTCGGCTTAATCCATGTTGATTTCTTAACTTTTAAATTCGAACCGACTCCCAAAATATATTGTGATAATGTAAAGTCTACTTATCATTTTTATTTTAAAAGAAAAATAAGTTTTATATCTTCTTTTTAAAAATTTCAAAACAAAAAGCTGAAAATGACTACCGAGTAGCAAGGAAAATCTCACTCGATAGCCTCTCACCTTAGAAAAAACTAAATACATGATCACTTGTTTGTTTACGATTATTGATTTTTAGACAAGTCGATTGACATATAGGGATCGAGCCCAACAAGTTCCCGACCTAAATCTTAGACTCTTCAAATCATTTTCAAAACTTGTTTTCAATTTTGTTTTTTAGAAAAAAGAACAAGTTTTATATTTTGTTTTTAAAAAATAGAAAACTAAAAAAATCTAGTTTTGAAAAACATTTTCTTTCATTTTCAAAACTTGTTATCAATTTTATTTTTTTGAAAGAAAAAAAATGTTTTATATTTTGTTTTAAAAATTTCAAAACAAAAAACAGAACACAAAAAATGATTATCAATAGTATAAAAAACCTCACTCGATAGCCTATCACCTTAGAAAAGATAAATACACAACTTGATTGTTTGTGGTTATTGAGTTTTAAACAAGTCGATCTACGCATGGAAACCGAGGCCAACAAGGTCGTAACCTAAATTGTGGACTTCTCAAATCATGTTTCAGCTTGAACTTCTAATATGATCCACGTCGTTTTCGATTTAATTTTTAAAATATATGATGACATTGTAAAATCTAGTTTTGAAAATTTTTGAAACACATTTTCTTTTATTTTCAAAACTTGTTGTCAATTTTATTTTATTTCTTGTTTTTTAAAATTTCAAAACAAAAAAAAAGAAATTAAAAATGAATTAACAGTAGAAAAAACTTCACTCGATGACATCTCACCTTATAAAAAAATAAATACAGTACTTTGCTATTTGCAGTTATTGAGTTTTAGACAAGTCAATTGACGCGTCGGGACCGAGCCCAACAAGGCAACGAACAACACTGTCAAAAGTCCAACTATTTTTCAAAGTCCCAAATATCCACCAAGGAATTTTCCATTAATAAGCAAACAAGCCCAGAAAAGGATGGGGATTTTAGTAAATTGATGATTGCGAGTTTTTTTATTATAAATCTCTCTCCTCCTATATATACTTTGATGGTCGCATCGCAGCATTACCATAGAATTAGAATAGAAAGCCCTTTTTCTTGACACCTGCCACCCAATATACAGAGAAGCAACAATACTTTATCCTTTTTTCTCTTTTTAAAAAAATAATAACAATCAAGGTCGTTAATTTTGGAGATTATTGAGGGACGCTATCTGTTTGGCGAAAAGTTTTTATATTTGTATTTTATAAAAAGAAAAGCCCATTTTTGGAGAGAGAGAGAGAGAGAGGGGAGCATAAACGGCTAAATTTACTGGTTGTGCGGCTAGCTAGAAACAAGCGGAGATCGAGGAGGGAAATTCCGAAAGAGGTTGTTCCAGGGAGTGGAGAAAACCCATTTGGGATTTGATCTTAGTTTTTTTAGAGCAGTTGCAGTAAAACAGAATATATAATTATTTATAAAAAAAAATGTGGTGGATGATGAGTGAAAATGGTGGCCATTACTGCTCTAAGAAGACTGATGATATCTGTAGTGATTTTTGTGGCCAGGTAATTTCGAACCCGGTTTGATATATTTGAGATTTAGTTAGGCCTTTTCGTTTTCTGTTTTTATTTCTGATAATTATACATGCCTGTTTTTTGAATTCTCGATTATGCCATCAATTAGATTTTTTTTTTTTTTTTTTTATTGGACTTGGGATTTTATGGCTTTTCTGGCTTTTCTTTCTTTTGTGGATTTATTGAGGTTTCTGATTCAATCTGAGACTTGTTTGAGGATTTGAAAAAAAGTAAAGGTTGAAGTTTTTTAAGTTTGGGCATCTGAAAAAATCAGACCTTTTTTTTTTTTTAATAATTAACATAATGGAAGAAGATGCTGATGAATTTACAGTCTAGGTTTTTTCAATTTTTTCCGTCTGGAAACTCTGATTATAACATGTCTCCACTTTTTATCTGGTTATGATTTGTGTTTAAGAAGAGAAAAAATATTTGAGATGCCGATTTATTGAGTGATTTCCTTTACATCTTCCCATCCTTACTGGAATCAAATAGGGCATTATGATTATAGGAGAAATTTATTTATTTATTTCTATTACCCGTTCTTTTCCTAAATGCTCATATTGCATAGGTTTCTATTAAAGTTCTATTACACTGATCATTTACTAGTAATTTGCTTTGTTTTGTACTTCTTTCTGAAACCATTTTGACTCATACAGTGAACGTTCATTAATTTGCAGGACTCAAGCCGAGTTTTGAGCATGTCCAGAATCCGGTGTATCCTTCGTGGCATGGATTTAAAGACATATTTGCTTCTATTTATACTCGTGCCGACTTGTGTCTATGGTATCTACATGCATGGACAGAAGATCTCATACTTCTTGCGGCCATTATGGGAATCTCCACCAAGACAGTTCAATGAAATCCCTCACTATTATCATGAGAATGTGTCGATGGAGAACCTCTGCAAACTCCATGGTTGGGGAATTCGTGAGTTCCCAAGGCGTGTTTATGATGCAGTGTTATTCAGTAATGAGCTGGACATCCTTACTTTGCGATGGAAAGAATTGTACCCTTACATTACCCAGTTTGTTCTCCTTGAGTCTAATTCAACCTTCACCGGGACAGAAAAGCTTCTCTATTTTGCCAACCATCGAGATCAGTTCAAATTTGTTGAGCCCAGGTTGACCTATGGAACTATAGGAGGGAGGTTTAAGAAAGGAGAGAACCCATTTATTGAAGAGGCATACCAACGAGTAGCATTGGATCAACTTATCAAAGTAGCAGGGATTTCTGATGATGACCTGCTTATAATGTCAGATGTTGATGAGATACCAAGCAGACACACTATCAATCTCTTGAGGTGGTGTGACGACATTCCTTCAGTTCTTCATCTCCGGCTGAAAAATTATCTTTACTCTTTTGAGTTTCTTGTGGACAATAACAGCTGGAGAGCTTCAGTCCACAGATATCAGACAGGTACCACGCGTTATGCGCATTATCGCCAGGCAAATGATATTTTGGCAGATGCAGGGTGGCATTGCAGCTTTTGTTTCCGACGTATAAGCGAGTTTATATTTAAGATGAAAGCTTACAGTCATTTTGATAGAGTCAGGTTCAAACGTTACTTGAATCCTGAAAGAATCCAGAGAGTAATCTGCAAGGGTGCTGATTTATTTGATATGCTTCCAGAGGAGTACACATTCAAGGAAATTATTGGGAAAATGGGACCAATTCCTCATTCCTACTCGGCTGTTCATCTTCCATCATATCTTCTGGAGAATGCTGATGATTATAAATTTCTCTTGCCTGGGAACTGCTTAAGAGAAAGTGAGTGATTTTCTTGGATACTTCAGTAACTGTTTTGTAAAGGTTAGGTGGAGATGCAGCTTGTGTGACTCCTTATGAAGGCTTCGATCGAACATTTGCCATCTGTAGCAAGTGACTGGTACAACATGCTAAATGTCGAAGTAGATATGTGAAATGTTTGAAGAGTTGGGCAAATTCTTGAGTTTTCTGGGATCACATTATGTACATAGCTTTCTTCTGGAATTTGGGTTTCATTCAACCTGGAGTTTTACTGGATGGGATTTTGCTGTGATGGAAACAGCCAAGGTGTCACCAGGTTCTTGTGTACTTCCTAGATTTCCTATGACCTGATTCTCCAAAGGCTCGATAAGATAGTTTTGAGGTTTCAGTGATTTCCCGGTATTGGGAAGTTTTGTTCTGAGACATTTTATTTCTCCATGTCATTAATTTCTTGATTCATATCTTATCTATCTCATTTTATTTAGACCTCTCATTGATTATAGTGTTGTTGACTCTCTTTATCAGATTTTCATGTAATTTAAGTTAGCAAGATTGTTCTAATCCGTTTTCATGGACAGCTCTTTTTCCTACCCTCTGTGTAATGAATTAAAAATTTTCATCTCGGGCAGAGTTACATTTTTGCAGGTTGCTAGCGCATAATAATCCCATTTAACTTTCTTTGAGCTCTTGGCACGTATTAGTCAGCATTAAGTGGACGGACATGCTGCATCTTTCCATATGTATGCCTACCAACTACTGTAACCCTAGATATGATCGTTAAGGTGTCGTTTACTTTGTGTTCAGGAGACAAATAAATATCAGAAACGTTTGTCGTGGTTTGCTTTATAACATGGACCATGTCTAATAATGTTTTGCCACGTCTAGTTGAACTTTGAAAGAAACGCCATGCCTCTCTGGCATGGAAGCTGGCAATGGATACCCAAGTTATTCCTCCTCCTTGAGCTGCTCGATTAATTATTTAGAGGATGGGTGGTGGCACTTTGGCCCTACTTATTGGTTCAAAGTATAATGCTTCGTTTTATGCCAATCAACATGACATGGTCGTCTTGCATTGCATCTATCACAATAAATAAATGAAGGAAAAAATATTTGCTTCTCTACTTGTGTATTTTATCAATATTTTGCTCGACGGGGAAATACACGATTTAGTTTTGGCATTCCAGGCATTTGGGATTAAAATGCCGTGGGTCCATGACATGATGACATATTTCCTGAACCTGAACAACCAAATTTATTGTGAAAAAGGCCATATCTGAAGGGAGAAGGTGACTCGAGGAGGAATGGCAATGAAGAGTGGTGGGGCGGGCCATGAAAAGCTTTGCTCCGTGTCCTGCCCAGAATAATATTTTTCCTACCATCTCAATCCCTAACAGACACAGGAGTTCCCTTAGGAAACCAGTGTCACGCTTAATTCTCTACGTTCGTCCCGTTCTGTTCCGTCTTGTTTTTGTTTCGTTTTATCTCATATCATCTTATACTAAATGTTAAACTATAGAAAAAAGATAATAATTCATATAAAAAATATATAATTAGAAAATAATTATTTAGCATTATATTCAGCTATAAGTTTACAACACAACTCATAATATATTAAATTATTTTCAATCGAATAAATAACATACTTAATTAAGTTAATAAATTATTATAACTACTAATGTCACAAATGTAATTAAAAAAGATATATCTTTGCATGTCTTTAGTGCTTAGAGATAATCAAAACTCACTCATTATATTAGAGGTTAGTTTGTAGTTTCGGAATTTATATATATGTTAAGTATGATTAGAGGTGAGCATTCGGTTAAACGGTTCGGTTAAGCATAATTCGGTTCGGTTTTTGGTTAACCGAAGTAGGAAAAATAAAACCGAAACCAAACCAAAATTAATTCGGTTAATTTGGTTTGTAACCAAAATTAGTTCGGTTCGGTTTTGAAATAATTCGGTTTAATCGAACTTTTTCATTACTTCTCCATTTCGGACTTTAGACAGCTTCTCCCAAAACTTTCATTTATTTTTTCTTTGCCTAAGCCGAGTAATTAGCAATGCCGAGCTAACAAGTAACCACTTTCTTTTTTAAAAAGGATTCAACACCAAAAAAAAAAAAAATCACAATTAAAGTCAAATTTAAACACCCAACATGTTTAACATTCATATATCGAAAAAGAAAATAAGTCATGCAAAATAATTGTTGATGAAACAAAGATACGGATACAATACAATCGACATTAAACAAGTAAAAGCATGGTAGAATGTTCGTTCTCATTTCTCAACAAAGAGGACGAGACACGAGCTCTCTTCCCGTCCTAAAACAAATGATTTACGTGCATTTGCAATACCTTCACTCCTTTAGTATCTACAATAGAATGAAATCCCAACAAACACTCAATGCTCCTAAAAGAGGATATTAACATGCTATGAAAATCAAAGGTAGTAGGCCCATCGCCCATCGCCGATGGCGGGAGACACCAGGCGATAGCGGTAGGCCTACTAGCGGTGGGCACGAGGCACCGAGGCAATAGGCTACTATCTACTATGGTTCTCTTCTCTAGTTCAATAAAAATGAAAATTTACAATTTTCACTTACCGACTAAACTTGCATAAACAATAGAAATAAAAAATCCAACTTAGAAAGTAGAAACTTAGTAACTTACACATATCATTCATCACGCCAAAACATCGTCAAGTCATCAACCCATCAAGATTCAACCATTTGTAATATAGATAGTGGCAAGTGGTAACTCGAAAATTATAAGATAAAAAAAATTAAACTTTTAACATTAATATAGAGGAAAGAAATAACAAATGAAAAGGTAAGAGTTATAGAAATTACCATCTTGTAAATTTTCTTCAATAATAATTGGTGTCGATGAATTTTTAATCCAATCTTGAGCACATATAAGAGATTCCACTAAGCTAGGAGTCAAATAACTCCTAAAGTAGTTAAGAACCCTTCCTCTAGTGCTAAATGTTGATTATGAGAAAACAAGTAGAAACAGGAACCACCAATATATCCCTAGCCATTTGTGAAAGGATGAAAAACCAAGGAGAATTGGTTTTCCAACATTCTAAAATATTAAAATCAAGCACTCGTTATTTTCAGCACCTTCACTAAGATATTTATCCAACTCCGTTTTATTTCCTCCACCTCCAATATCACACTTGTATTTTTCAAAACGCATCATTATCTCTTTTTTTATTCTAATTTCTTCTTCATCAATCATTTCTTCATTTGCACAACCCACATTTATTTTTTGACTCCCACTACCTTGGCCAATTTCACCTTGAGATGTTGACGAACGACAATATGAATCATACATAGCATACATAGATTCCTTGACAATATTTGACATTCTTTGGCCCTCCAAATCACCATACAATTCATTGATTGAAAATTCAATAAATACAAGTTTATGCCTAGGATCAAGTATTGTTGCAATATAAATCAACTTATTCATTTTCTTAATATCCTCCCAATACCTCTCAAATTTTTCTTTCATTTTATTGGCCAATGTAAAATCATCTAAATCCCTACTTCGTTGTTATTTTTTTAAAACATGTTCGAGAGCATAAATCTCTTCAAAATAAATATTTGAAGTCACATATAAAGAACCTAAAAGACGCAAAGTGAGATTGTAAAAAATTTGTAACATGCCCACCAACTTCTTACAAGACTTCCAATCATCAACATTATGTGGCCCAATAACATTATCTCCATGATCTACATCAAATTCACTCTTATATAAAGGATCAATTTGCTCATATCTCGTAAAAGCTCTCTCAAACTTTAGAGTCGACTCTAACATCAAGTATGTTGAATTCCTCCTAGTAGCAACATCTAGTTGTAACAAACTCCTAGAATCAATTTTCTCAAGTTGAATGCATTCCTTAAATATTTTCAACCTAGTTGGAGATTGCCTCACAAACTTAATGGTCGATCGAATATGAACGATTGAAGGATTAAAATGTTTTAACCCATCAATAACAACTAGATTCAAAGTATGTGCCATACATCTCATATGAATGAATTCACCATCTAAGATGCTATAACCCCAATTCTTAATCACATCTTTTAAGTGCCTAATTGCCACATCATTCGAACTCACATTATGAACCGTAACACTAAAAACCTTCTCGATTTCCTAATCAATCAAGCATTTCTCAATGATAATACCTAAATCTACTCCCTTATGACTATCAATTGGACAAAAATTTAAGATCTTTTTATGCAAATTTCAATCATTATCAATAAAATGAGTCGTTAAACACATGTAATTGATTCTTTGAATAGATGTCCATGTATCCATAAGTAAGACTAATTCTTTGAATATTTTATTTCAAAAATTGCTTCAACTTTATTTTCTCATCTAAATAAATTTGATAGCAATCTCTTGAAATTGTAAAACAAGATGGAAGCTTGAATATAGATTGCAAATTAGATAAAAACTTTTTGAATCCCACGCCCTCTATATGCTTAGATGGAAGCTCATTTAGAATGATCATTTCAACTAAATCTTTTATACTAACATTTTGATTGAACTTCCATGTGGTAAGATTGTTTTCTCCTACTTCAAGCTTTCTTAGGTCTAATTGAGTTTGGGTAGAGTCAATACAACTAAAAGGATTTTTTTTTTTTTTTTTTTTGCAAGTTAAAACATGAGAACTAAGTGAAGTTATCCCATTTTTTAAAGGATCACAAACAAATACCTTATCACAATAGTTACATTTAGCCTTCATGTTTTTCTTGTCATCTTCAAACTTTGTGAAATGATCACATACCATCGATCTTGGCTTCATTGATTTTCTCTTATTTTCTTTGCCACCGTCTTGAGTGTTACTTGGAGTTGCACTTGATTGTGGATTAGGATTGCTTGAATCCACGGTTTCATAATTCATCTCTATGGATTGAGATTGCGATATCTACATAAAAACATAGGAAAAAGAGTATTAAGCTTCACGAGTTCACACTCCTTAAGCTTAAGCCAAAAAAAAAAAAAATCTAGCTAGGCAAGAG